CCACCCCCCCCCCCATATCACATCTCAGACAAACGCTTGTCCGATCTCTTCTTCAAAACCTGCAGTGTTGGAGAAACTCAGGACGTCTAGTGGCCGGCGGTTCCACGGGCCAATTGTCCCCGCTGTCAGTTCTAGCTTGCTTCGTAGTTCCAGCTTGCTTCTCTCCTTGACGAGTTTTTAAGTGAAACACGGCGGTTAAAACGAATCCGGCTCCCCCCCTTCGTTGACTTTGCTTGTCGGACGGTCGCCAAAGGGGATCGCGGGACCCCCCCCCACGGGACACCGTCGTAAAGCGGAGTCAGCGGCCGAATTTGGATGATGTGGCCACTGTGGGACGGGAGACGCTGCAACGGTTGTCAGCGTGCAAAACAGCCACGAGTCCCTTTTTTCGGCGCCGGTCGCTAAATTAATCGTTGTAAACTGAGGACTAGTAAAATGACCCTTGGCAAGTTACAGCTAAAGAAGAGACATTGTGTTAAGGGGGGGGGGAGTCAGGTTGCTTCTTTGGAGAGAAGAAGCTATCTCTGTGCACCAGAATCTTTCAACCTTGGCCACTGGAAGATGGGTGGGCTTCAACTCCCAGAATTCCCCAGCCAGCATGCGCTGGCTGGGGAATTCTGGGTGTTGAAGCCCACCCATCTTCCAGTGGCCAAGGTTGAAAGATTCTGGTCCGCAGAGACTTGGTCCCTATCTCCAGATCCCCCCCCATGTACCCCAGGATGGCCCCTTCCCCATTGCCTCCCCCTCCCCTCCAGTATCTCCCACCCACCCACCTCTGCCCCTTTCTCCCCAGCATGGAAGCCTCGGAGCCCCCCACTACGGCCGAGACGTACGAGGACTTCCAGTCGGCAAAAGAGGAGGAGGAGTACGAAAAACACTTTGAAAAAGGTACCCGGAAGCGGATTCGAATCATGCACAGGCGCTGGGTGTCTGTGTGTATACGTGTGGAGGGGAACGTGGGCTGGTAGGGTGGAAACCTGGAGATCTTGAGCAGGGGGCTGGACTAGAAGACCTCCAAGGTCCCTTCCAGCTTAATTCTGATCCTAATTCTAATTCTAATTCTAATTCTAATTCTAATTCTAATTCTAATTCTAATTCTAATTCTAATTCTAAAATTCTAATTCTAATAATAATTCTAAAATTCTAATTCTAACAATAGTTCTAATAATTCTAATAATTCTAATTCTAAAATAATTCTAAAATTTTAAAATTCTAAAATTCTAAAATTCTAAAATTCTAAAATTCTAAAATTCTAAAATTCTAAAATTCTAAAATTCTAAAATTCTAAAATTCTAAAATTCTAAAATTTTAATTCTAATTCTAATAATTCTAATTCTAATTATAATTAAATAGTTCTAGTTCTAGTTCTAGTTCTAATTCTAATAATTCTAATTCTAATTCTAATTCTAATTCTAATTCTAATTCTAATTCTAACTCTAATTCTAATTCTATTCTAATTCTAATAATTCTAATTCTAATAATTCTAATCTAATTCTAACTAACTGTAACTGTAACTCTAACTCTAACTCTAATTCTAATTCTAATTCTAATTCTAATTCTAATTCTAATTCTAATTCTAATTCTAATTCTAATTCTAATTCTAATTCTTTCTAATTCTAATTCTAATTCTAATTCTAATTCTAATTCTAATTCTAATTCTAATTCTAATTCTAATTCTAATTCTATTCTAATAATTCTAATTCTAATAATTCTAATCTAATTCTAACTGTAATTCTAATTCTAATTCTAATTCTAATTCTAATTCTAATTCTAATTCTAATTCTAATTCTAATTCTAATTCTAATTCAATCTCCACCCTTGGGGGAGCCATGTCACGGTCCCGAGGTCGAGTCAGGGCTGCGAGTCCAGAAAGTGCCCCCCCTTTGATGGGTGTCTCAGAGATTCTTGCACTTGTTTCTCCGGGGAAAGCCCCCCCCCCACCCTGCAAATGTCCATTTCTGGTCCTTGAAGGGCGGGTGGGTGGGAGTCTTCAGGACATCCTTCTCTTCACACAGACTTCCCGTTGTCGAAGTCTTTTTCCCGGCGCGTCTGTCCCACCAACCGTCTCCTTCTGCTGTTGACGGTGTTCTGTGCCGTTCTGATCCTCTCGGTCTGCATCCTGGGCATGCAAGGTAAGCGTGTCACACAAACGAGCTGGGACGTGGGGGTGCAAGCCCACAGGGGGGGAGGAAGCGTGGGGGCGGACCTGGAGTTGGAGAACGAGCGTGCAAGATGGGAAGGGAAAGAAGAAGAGAAACGTGGATTGGTCCATGAGGAACCCAAAGCCGCTGGGGTGTCAACATCCAGCAAGAGAATCCAAATAAAACTCCAGGCTCGTTCCGTCTCCGAAAATCTTACTGTTTATTGAATACACGGCATGGGTGTGTCGAAGCAAAACCAACTCTGAGGTTCCCACACCAGTTCACAGACTTAAACAATAATTTTCCCAGTCAAACCCCTCCCCCCAACGTCTTACGTCGTCCATATCAACAAGTTCACTTTGTTATGGGAACCGTCTGCTTCAAATCCACACCTGTTCTGGCGTCCTTGAAAAGGATTCAGGCTCTCACGCAGAGGCACGTAGCTGCCAAAGTGTCATCCTTGACATGCAATCTAAATGATGGAAATGTGGGAAGACCCTTCATTTCTTTGTTTTTTAAACCTGGGTTTCCGGTGTTCTGGGAACTGGCCAAAGCTAGAGGGCTCTTGCACGCCGTCTAGTCCAACCTCAGCCGCAGCTAGTCCCCGATTTACAGCCGTAATCGAGCCCGCAGTTTCAGTCGGAACTGAAAATGGGAAGCGAAGGAAGAAGGGAAAGGTGGGTGGGTCCACGTGGCGAAGCCCAAACTTGCTGAGACCTCCTATGTCATGTGTCTGAGTAACGAAACACTTAAAAGGACTTTCAGGCATTTTTTCTCCTAAAAGCATTTATTAAGATTACAATACGTCAGCACAGCATGGTGGAATGCTTAGGTCTGCTTCTCTTCCGTTTCGCATAACATTCCAAACATTTTCCACTCCCTTATTGTAGGGTCATGGTTCACATCTTCCAATCAACTTGGAAGATGTGATTTACTTCTGGTTTCTTTCTCCCGGGCTATCCTTATGCTCCTCCCTCTTTCCTGGTTGCTGGTTTAACTATATAAATACCAGACAGTTCTGCACATTGTCAAAGCAAGAATATACAGTATTTGCAGCGTTGACATCCTATATATGACGACAATCAATCCAGGCGACTGCTGTGGCTTTGGGTTTTTTTTAACCTTGGTTTCGGGCGTTGTAGGAATGGGCCCAAACTAGAGAGCGTAAGAGAATAACGGAGCTTCGGCGTGTGTGGAAAAGGGAGCCCACCCTCTGCCCAAGGAGGAGAGGGTCAGCTTCTACAGCCCGGGGAGAAGGTTATGGGTTGCCCCCTCCCTCAGCCCTGCTTCCTCCCTCCCTCCCTCTCTCTGTTCCAGGCCTTCAGTTCACCGAAACCCTCCAGGAGACCCAGAAGGGCGTGCAAAATATGAGCCAGACGATCCAGCAGGGGGTCACCCAGCTGAAGGGCAAAGGTAAGGAGCCAGAGGGGGGGCGAGAAGCAGCGTGCAAGCCCCCCACCCTCTCTTCCCCCACCCAGCCCCACTTTCCCAGGTGAGATAGGCATCCACTGGGGTGCCTATCTTATTGGAGAACGGGGAGCGACATGTCTCTTGGGGTGTCATAGGAAGAGGCTGCTGGTGCGATTCCTGCCAAGGAAGGGGTCGTCCTTTCCCCACCGTCCTCGACTCAAGGACTCTTTGGGGGCCCTGGCCATTGGGCCCTCCTTTTTGTCCCCCTTTAGGCCAAAACGCCACCTCGAAACTGGCCGCGCTGGCGACAATTTTGCAACAGGAGAATGATAAACTGTTGAAAGGTCAGCGTTTTTCACCCCTGGAAAAAGCCTTTTTTCCCCCCAGCTGGCTGCAGTTGGAGGGGGGGGACGTGGGGGGGTGTCTCCACAGAGGAATAAGGGATGCTCATGGTTGCCTTTCTCCAGATCTCCAAATCCCTGGCGAGAGAAAGGGGACACAACGGCTGCTGTAAACGTCTGGAGGTGTCTGGGAAAGAATTCGGGCGGTTTTTTATTAAAAGGCAGGCAGCTGCTTTCATGAGCCAGCTCACCTGGCCTCTGCAGC